CGTGCTGCAGGACCCAACGTGGCAGCGGAGAAGCGCGAGCATTTCGGCGCATGGCATCGCTTCCTGCTGCTGACAGCGGCACCCGCCCTCGCCGCCGCCCTCGCGCTGGCCCTGGCGCCCGAGTCGCCGCGCTTCCTGCTGGAGGCCGGCCGCGACGTCGAGGCCATGATGGTGTACCAGGTACTGTGCCTTGGGCTGTGCTCCTAATCTTCCTGTACGGCCCCATTCTAGGAGTGTCAAGATCGCGGGCGAGGAAACGAGCGTACTAGAGTTCGTGGGCATTGCGTCCAGAGCAACTGAGATTTAAAAGGAAGGATTGTAGAAATGCTCTGTAGTGGGTGTCCATCACTGGATACCTGGCCCATGACAAGAGTTTTGGAGAAGTCAGTTAAGAGCTATTTCCCCAAATGTAGCTACATTAATTCCTATTATTTTATTAAAGCAAAGAAACTATATGCATTAAAATTAAATAGTACAGCAGTCAAATTTCAAATTGTCAAATGAGAGTAAAATTAAAGAAGTTGAATCGTAATAGATTTTGATTTCGTAATGATTTTTACTTAAAAGTGCAATATTTGCTTAACTCCCTACCTTCAGGGTAAGACGTTTAACAGATATTCTTGTCTGTTCTTAGTGCTCTCAACACGCAAGACACACTTGCTATAAACGCGTTATCGCTCAAAAGCACGCGTACTAAAAAACTCGATTAAAAAACATTTCCTCGTAGCTTAATGTTGTAATTTGATTGTCCAATTCATTATTGTAATTATTTCTATTTTCTCCTTTTTCAATTTTTTATAGCCCTCTATTTTTTTCTCGCATTTCAGTGTGAAGTTGCATTAACTGTGGCTGCTAGAGACGCCCCAATTGTGGGCAGTATATATAAGAATACTGTGAAAACCGTGATTTCCTCGGTGTGATCGGACGAAAAATCTAGGATGATGATATTTGTGCCCTGTTTATTGTCCCTTTTATTGTTGTTTTAATTGTTATTTTGTGAAAACCTTTATACCATTTATAGTTCATGTTTCCACTGTTTGTGTTTTAATTTAATGCAACCTATCATTCAATTTCATATTGTTAATTACCTACTATGTAACGAATTGCAGCTTAATGTTGAATGTGGAATATCAACAAATGGATGTAATTGACTGAACAACGTCTTACCTGATTTTTCCCACATAAAAGGAGAAAATTGAAATAATTTCTTCATATGTCGTGTGGTTTTTTAGTTTAGGTCAATACAAAAAACACTTTTTTGCGAATGTTTTGGCAATTGATTCGGCAATGATTAGAGCTACAATAATAAATAGATAAGAGTACAATAATTAGAATTAGAGAACGTAAAGAGACCATTTACATTCATAGATAACCAAAGTTAACATGTGAAAAAGATTATCTGTAAGGTTATAAAGTAAGCAAACTACACATTCTTATTGTGTCCCATGTTCCATGTGGTAATATCCCACTATATGAATAATTGGGTTGAATTCTGCGTCGAGCGCATTACGCGAGTGCTGTGCACCGGCTTCTGGGCATAAACTCAAGAACCGCACGACATATAATTGCAACGCCCCCAGAATCACTTAGGAGATTTCCTCATAGATCATTATTTACTCACAAAGTATACGTACAATTTCCCCTCACACACGAAAGCAAATAGCATTTGGCTGGGCAAGTCCATCCAGAAGACGCGAACTCGCGAGGAGGCCGTTCCTCCCCGTGCGCAACCGCCGCCTCCGCCGGCGGGAGGGCGTGCGGGGCGGCGCTAAGAGCGGCGCTAGGAGCGGCGCGTGGGCGCGCGGGCGCGTGTTGCAGCGCATGTACCGGCGCAACCACGCGCGCGGGGGCGGGGCGGGCGCGCAGTACCAGCTGTCGGAGCTGGAGCTGCCGTCGGC